AAGTAAATAAATAAAATCTTAAAAAAAAAAAAAAAAGTCCACCGATTTCTAACTAGGTAAGTTTGGCTTTCTCCACCACAAATCCCTTACCTGTTTCATCATCATCTTCAGCTTCATCATCATCATCACTGTCATTCTCGTGTTCTGCATGGCAGGCATATGCTCTTTTTAATCCATTAAATAAAAGGATAAAAGCTGGCAAAATCTGTCCAGAAACCTGATTTAAAACTTGTGGTATTTGTTCCATATCAATAAGAGCACAAAGGCCCAGAACACACATCTTTCTGTCATGAAGCCTAAAAAATAAAATAAAGATTTTCTTCTTGTTTTTAATAAGCAGAGTTTCTCACAAAGTTAAATAAACAAAGATCCAATATATGTCACTTACCCCAAGAAACAATCAACATCATTAAGCCACTGTGTAATAAAATGATTTGTAACTGGTTCAACATTATTAGGGAAGCGAAGATTTTCTAAGGTGTTGAGAAGTAGGTGTGGGTTATAATACAAAGCTGCAATGGCAACTTGCAGGCACATTGTCCGAAGTTCACTTGTCTTCACCTCTCTTGTCAGTCTCTCTAAAGCGGCTTCCACAAATAAGGGAATGCACTAGAAAGAAAGACAGCAAAGTATTCCAAAACCTTAAGTAACAGCAGTCTAACCATCCTACCCATATTAACTTGTTGCCTCAACTAACCTCTTTTTCTCTCCATCAGATGACCTAATAGTTTTTACTGTTGAGGCATTCACTGAGAAATCTAACTTTAGAGAAGACATTCTTTCTGCCCCTTCCTCTGCCCCTCCAGAGGCAGAGGAAGTCTTCTTCTTCACGGGGCTATTAGAGCCTCACAATAGCCAGCTGGATTCACAATATTCTTATTGACTAACCTTACTGTAGTAATCACTTCACATATATACATCTGTATCAATTCATATTATACACCTTAAGCTTATAATGTTGTATTTCAATTATATCAATAAAGCTGGAAACTGACCACGGAAATTTAACAACTAAATCTATCTTACTGCAAAGTGATTATGTGACAAACAATACTCTCACAGCCTACTATAAAAAAATCTTACCTTGCATGGTAACAGCCATAAAACTTGCCAGTCATATTTTCATACACATTAAACAAATGATCATTATATATTGGTTAAATTTTAAACCAATAATTTAAAAATGTTATCTAGTATCATAATAAACAATAATATACAAAATACACAGCTGTCCCCAAAGAAAAAAAGGTGGAGGGAAAGATTCTCTCTATGAAGCCTCAAACGGGAATTATTAATAGTTAGCCTCACTGACCTGGTCAATGCCACGCCCTTTGCATTGTAGAATGATGACCTCTAACAATTTTGCTGCATGACACTCTGCATCTTCTCCTGCAACTCCTGTAAGAACCTGATCAACACGGAAATATAAAACTGCAATGAGGCATCATGAAACCTTTAAATCAGAGAATATCTGTCCTCCGTCTATAGTCTTTGGAGTTTTTAAAATATTATAGTTAATTAATATAAATGATTACAATATTCATTGTACAGACTATAAAGCAACTATGAGGATCTGGAGTCGCTGGTTAGCTGTATCTCCTCAATCGCACATCTTGGTCTATAGTATAAGCAAATCACCTCCCCTGCAGTGCCATTCTGAACTACAGCCATGTTGAAAATCACTATCTTCTCATATGACCATCATAGCTAAAGCACCCTACCTTTCTTAGGGAAGGCTCTTATGTAAAGAAGTATAAGAAAAAATAAATAATAATAATAAGCTGACATTGCTAGGAAAGCCCTTTCTCTACACAAGTCTCATAAAATAAAAAATAGTGTCCCTGGAAGAAGAGGCAGCTTGTTGATGGCAAATGCTATTCCCAAACAAGAAATAAAAAACACGGACTCGCCCTGCTACTTAGAGTACTCTTAAGTGTTATAGGTAACTTCTGGAAAAGAAAGTAGATCTTATAGACAGATATCACCGTTCCCAGAGTATTAACATAAACTATATAATTGACAATAAATAATGAATAGTATACCAGATGATTATTTTGTGACTAAGTGTTCAGAAAGAAAAGATATTAATGAAGACAAGCCTTTCTAAAAATTCCATGTTTTTTTTTAAAGATTTTATTTGAGATAGAGCACAAGTAAGCGTGCGCATGAGAAAGAAAGAGAACATGAGTGGGGAGGAGAAGGAAAAGCAGGGAGCCCAATGTGGGGCTCGATCCCAGGACCCTGGGATCATGACCTGAGCTGAAGGCAGCCACTTAACCAACTGAGCCACCCAGGCGCCCCCTAAAATGCCTGGTGTTAAACAGCTAGCTGTCTCTCAGCACTGTTAGAAATGCAAATATTACCCAATTATATTGACTTTGATATTGAAGGACCCCAATTCAACAACTGTATCCCCTATCTCTTGTGTAAGAAAATCATTAAAAAAAAAAAAAAAATTCAGCATACATTTACTTGTGATTTTCCAAGAAATGGCACAGTACTTTTGACTTTCATTTTAAGTAAACCCTTGGTTTTTACAATCTTGCTATTTACTAAATAATTTCTGTAAAGCCTCCATAAACCTGTAACCTACAAAAATTTTCTTTATAAAACATCTTTATTTTTGAGCCTTTCAAATATCTCTCAAATTTAAGTTCTTGATTCTTTCCTTGTTTTGATTCAAAGGCTAGCAAAGAACTAGTAGGCTAAGGTAAACTCCAGGCACTCTAAACATCAAAAACATTTATAACTATAATAAAATGTCAGGGCAGACAGGGGCACCTAGGTGGCTCAGTCGGTTAAGTGTCTGCCTTTTGCTCACGTCATGATCTCAGGGTCCTGGGATCAAATTCCATGTCGGGCTCCCTGCTCAGCTGGGAGTATGCTTCTCCCTCTGCCCCTCTCCCCTCTCATGCCCACCCTCTATCTCTCTCTGAAGTAAATAAATAAAATCTTAAAAAAAAAAAAAAAAATGTCAGGGCAGACAGAAGACAAATATTTGTCAAAGGCATTACTGTGGCATATAGGAATCAGTCTTTTAGTTTATAGCTTTTAAAGCCCTTATTCTGTCAGAGCCATATAATATGTTCACTATAATGTGTCATGTATCTTCACTCTTCACAATTTCATACTTATCACAGCACCAGCCTCATGACATATATCCTTATATTAACTAAAAATGACCTACCTTCTTACACATACTATATATCATTTCAAGATACTTGGTATCAGACAGAAGTGTATCTGTATCAACTGTTACATAATTATGGAGCAGAGGCATCATATCTGTATTAATAAAAACATAAAAACATTAAAAAATGAATTAAACTAAAACATAAAAAAGTAATAAAAGTTAAATATCTTTACTAATATAAATGCTGTTTCTGAAAAATTTCCTTAGAAAACGAAAGCAAATGTGAGATTGTTTGGTCTGTAACAGAGAGAGAGAGAGAGAGAGAGAGTGTGTGTGTGTGTGTGTGTGTGTGTGTAATGCAAAGGGTATTATTATATATTGTACAAAAAAGACTGACAGGAGCAGGAGGGTGAGAATATGTGTTAAAGGAAACAAATCTAAAAGGGTAACTAAATCAAAATATATAATGGAAATCAATGGTATCATCCTTGAGCATCAACTACAAGTGAAAACATCTAAATAAAGAAGCATTTAGAATATTATGTTCAACTGTATACTAAAAATAAATCAAAACGGGGGGAAATCTTCAGTATTTCTATGTTGACTTGACTTACCTGTAAAGTAATCAAAGCCATCTTGCTGAAAAACCTCAAATACTAGAGGTAGCAACTGCCACATTTGCGGAGACACTTGTTGACACGTCAAACTATGTGCTAAAGAGAAGATCTCCTCATAGAATTCTAAAGAAGAGTATGGAGTCATTAGGACAATGCTTGCTGATATGAAATAGCAGGAAATTCTAAGCACAATTAGAGGTATATACCTAAGACATGCTGTTGTAAAACAGTTCCAATGACCTGTAAGCAGATTCCCTCAAGCTGCTGGGTTATCTAAAAGAGAAGAAAAAAGTTGTATGTTACTACAGTACACCAATGAATTAATAAATAATGTATAACGCAATTCACTGCTTATTGAAATATAAAGTCAATATCTTAAATCATTTTAAGTCTTTGTTTTGAAGTGACTCATTATAAAATTGTGGGTCAATGTGGAATTGAAATTTAATGAAATACCATTATAATTTAATGAAATACTATTACAATAAACACACACAAGAAATCACTTGCACAGTTTACCTAAAAAGTAAAGGAAAAAACAGTATCTTGGAAAAATGTAAATAATTATGAAAATAAAGGAGCCACATCATTCTGCAGATAGATTACAGACCTTTTTGTGTTTAAATATAGATCAACTCAGCCCAGATGTAACTGAAAAGTCACTGTCAATGGCTTACAGAAAAATTATTTGAAAGGCATTATTCCTACCACTCCCACTAATTCTTAAGTCACCTCGATATAATTATTAGATATAGTGAACCACACCCCAAGACCAAAAATACAAATTCCTCTTTAACTGTCAGTATGATCCTCAATCAGATCCCAAATCCGTGGAAACCATCAGAATGTTTAAAGAGTGGGGAGGAGAGACAAGATAAAGTTTACTAACTGGATATAGAACCAGGACATCCATTTCAATTATATATACTTAAAACATTTTCAACTCTTCAAATATAGTAACAACTGATTTGTTAACCACAGACAGCTACAGAATTCTTCATGGCGTCTACCTATTTCCAATTATAATGCAGAATACAAATAGTTCACCAAAAATCTCCTGTGGCAAAAGGCAATTTGCAGATAATCTGAAAATATGATTTATGGATATAAATATCTGCATGGAATTATAAACACCAAATTCAGGACCCTGGTCACTTCTAAGGGAAAGAAGGAGGGAAATGAGATCAGGAAGTGGTCCTCCAAGGGCTTCAATTACATCCATCTGAAATTGTTTTCTTACTGGAAATAAAGCCTAAAGGATATACTATAAAATGTTAAAACCCCAATAAATTTAGGTGGTAGTTAAAGGGTATTGGTTATAGTTTTCTGTTCTTTACCCTTTTTTGTATGTCTTAAATTACTTCATTTTTAAAAATTCATGATTACAATTCTCTTTCTGAAAGACAACTGTAAGAAAACTAGAAAGATGATAGTAATGATAGCACAACAATGTATACCTAACACCACTGAACTGTACACTTGAAAATGGTTAAGATGGTAAACTTTATGTTATGTGTAGTTTACTATCATTAAGAAACATTTTTTTTAATTAAAAAGAAAAACTAGAAAGGCACCTAGGTGGCTCAGTCAGTTAAGCGTCTGCCTTTGGCTCAGGTCATGATCCTGGAGTCCCAAGACCAAGCCCCGTGTGCTTCTCCCTCTGCCCCTTCCCTCCATTCATGCTTACTCTCAAATAAATAAATAAAATCTTAAAAAAAAAGATCTCAGGGTTGTGAGATTAAGCCCTGCATCGTGCTCTGCGCTAGGCATGGAGCCTGCATAAGATTCTCTCTCTCCCTCTGACCTTCCATTTAAAAAAAGGAAAACTAGGAAGGTTTTCCTAGGAACCACCACACTATTGGATCTGGATCTGAGAAAGGTAACCTAAGAGGCAGCCAAAATCCAGAGCCTTGAGGTAAGATACGGGTATAATACAAATACCTCCTTCCTATTCCTTCTTACCTCCTTCCATTCCTTCTAGTACTAAAGAACCTAAAATATTTATAAGATACCAATCTTTCCTTACAAAAGGGAACTAGTTAAAAGCTGGCATAATCAAGGTGAATGTCGAAGATAATCAGAGAATTAGATAAGCCAGAGCCTTCCAAAAAAGCATTAGAACAGTTGCTGAAAAATGGCTTTAAATTCCCTAAAACTTGGATCATTACCTGGATCAAAACCTTCTAACACTGAATCATTTTACCTCTTTATGATCTTCAACTACACTAAGAAGTGTGTCGATGGTATTCAGGATTCCCATAGCAGTAACTGCTTTGTCATCACTTCCTTCTTCATCTGGCCCAGTCTGGATTACCTGATTAAATGTCATTGCCTAGATTCAAGAGAATAAATTTAAACTTGCCGTTATAGCAGTATAAACACATTAACTTAATTTTTAAAAATGTTCTCACAGGGACAGCAAAACCAATCAATGTCACCACTGATTAATAATAATTAAGAGTCTCTGGGCTCTATAATCAAATGGTACTGCCACTTACTAGGTGACCTTAAGTTATTTGATCTGTTTCCTGACATTTCATTTGAGAATTTTATCATAGAGATACTTTGAGGATTAAATGAGGAAAGGCATACAAAGTGTTTAATATTATCAATATTCTTATTAATATTACTGGCTAACATTTGACAATGCCCAAACACAGGTATATTAATCACAGTTTTTTGTTACAAAATTCAATTGTTTTCAAACTTGTGAAAAGGATGGAGTCCTAACTAATAATCAGCTTATTATAAATGCAATATACATATTTAAAGAATGCTGTTACAGTTATTCAAATATCCTTCCCCATTTCAAAATCAGTTTTTCACAAAACTCTTTGCTTTTGCTTAAATCCAAAGCAAATACCAAAAGCTAGATTCCTGAAACCTCAATACTCAGGAGGAATATAAACTGCATCAAATAAATCACTGTATAGGGATTATGAATGGTAATTGTGGACATGTTCATATTTTCTACTACCCTTAAATAATTTACATTATTAATTCTCAGAAGTTTGGGGCTATGTACAGCAAACAAAGGCCAACTACTGAATAACTACTGTTTATAAATTTCATTAAAAAAAAAAAACAAAAAACTATCTAGGGGCGCCTAAATGGCTCAGTTGGTTAAGCATATCACTCTTGATTTCAGCTCAGGTTATGATCTCAGGGTTGTGAGCTGGAGCCTGGCATCGGGGCTCCACGCTGGGTATGGAGCCTGCTTAAGATAATCTCTCCCTGGGCACCTGGGTGGCTCAGTTGTTAAGCCTCTGCCTTTGGCTCAGATCATGATCCCAGGGTCCTGGGATGGAGCCCCACATCCAGCTCCCTGCTCAGCGGGGGATGGGGAGGGTCTGCTTCTCCCGCTCCCTCTGCCCCCACCCCCCGCTTGTGTTCTCTCTCTTAAATAAATCAATCTTAAAAAAAAAAAAAAAAAAGATTCTCTCTCCTCTCCCTCTGCCCCATTTGTGCTCTACTCTCTCTCTTAAAAAAACTATTTAGGGCACGTGGCTGGCTCAGTCAGCAAATCATGTGACTCTTGATCTCAGGGTTGTAAGTTCGAGTCCCACATTGGGTGTACAGGTTACTTAAAAAAATAAAATCTTTGTGGCGCCTGGGTGGCTCAGTCAGTTAAGTATCTGCCTTCGGCTCAGGTCATGATCTCAGGGTCCTGGGATTGAGCCCCGCATCAGGCTCTCCACTCAGTGGGGAGTCTGCTTCTCTCTCTCCCTCTGCTTGCTGCTCCCCTGCCTGTGCCCTCTCACTCCCTTGCTGTGTGTCAAATAAATAAATAAAATCTTAAAAAAAAAAAATCTTTAAAAAAAGAAATTTCAATTTTTTTTGAAAATACCTATTTATAACTATTATCTCTACTTCATCTTTTTTTTCCCTACTTCATCTTTAAGTTGGTCATCCAAAGTAGTCCAGAAAACCACACAAACAAAGCAGTCATGGTCAACATAGATAGTAGTTAAGAATGTGTGTTGTGGAGGCATATACTTCAGGTGTGAATCCCAGCTCCATCCATTCTAGCTTGGGCAAGTTACTTAACCTTTTTATAGCTCACATTTTCTCTCAGTGTATGAATATTCTTCATATAGGACTGTGTGAGAATTAAATGAGCTAAATATATGAACTAAATATATATATATATGGGTACTGTTCTAAGCCCTATATATAGGGCTTAGAACAGTACCCAATATACAGTAAGCTCTATGAAAATACTTGTTATAAGGTTAAGTAATGAATAAATGATTGGTTCAAATAACATACCAAATGCTGTGTCATTTCTACTGCAATAGGAGTAACTTCTTCACTATACTCGCAGATCATTTTCTGAATTACATTGGTAAGATCATCATTTTCTGTTTCTCTTATTATATGAAGAAGAGCCTGCATTACAGGTCTGATGAATGGTGTAATATATTCTTTAGCTGTAAGAAAAAGAGAGAAAAAAAATTTGGCCAAAACCTCCTAAAACCTGATATAACATACATCAAAAAATAAAAAATACTTTCCCATAAAGGGGAAGACAATGTATCAAGTTTCTAGGATTATGCCTTGTACAATTATTTGTAAAAACACTACACTATTTATGAGATATAAATCCTTTACCTTTTTCTTGATTGCTGATCAACACTTGAAGTGCAATGGCAGCTTCCACTTTCACGGGCATTTCCCTATCATCAATCAGACATCTTCGTGTCAGCTCTAAGGCCGTTTGCAGGTTCTGGTCACTTTTGAACTTTACTTCACAAAAATAGTGAAGGACCCAGCAAGCCTTTTATTAAAAAATGCAGTGAGTTACTACAGATATCCTACATTAAATTGCCCCAAGCTACAGTATATCTATTCCAAAAGTTCTGTGTATGGGAATTTGGAGGCTGGCCAGTGGTAGATATGTCCAAAGAGACAACACTAGACCAGTACTATGATCCCAACTTATTCTTTGGCTGCATGACGTTTGTGTGGATAGCGAGATCTGAATGCAAAACACAGACAGACACTGCTATCAGACACAGATGAAAACTATGCACACATTACAACAGCCATTTAAATATTTACATGAAAAAGTCTAAAATGAAATAAGTCTTTTATTAAGATGAGCATTAAAAAGGTTCCACATAAAAGTCTACATAAGCAGTCATTCATTACAAAACATAAATGTATCAGTGAATACAGGTTTAAAACATACCCTTGCTCTCATATAGCCTAGTTCACTGCTGAAGAGAGGAAATACATGATTCTGCAACATGTATTCCATCTGATCTTTGTAGATCTTTTTCTGTAAATACAAACAAAAATTATTTTTGAAAGAATTCCAAATATAATCATCTCAAATGCCAAATAAATACAAGAATGTTAAAAATGACTATTTATGTCAAAACACGTATTTATTCTGATTCTTTGTACCTGAGGATCCATATCTAATTTTCTCATTCTCAAACTTCACCATCAAAAAACACTGAACTCCTTTTCTTTAACCTTTTTACCTCATTTGCTTAGAAAGCATTTACACCAAATCTTAAGAGCAATCATGTTTGAGTATGGGAGTGTGGTTAATTTTATTCCTTACCTTATAAAACTATTATAATGAAAAAAAAAAAAACTATTATAATGAAATAAAGCCTCACTGGAAAGGTTCTAAATGAATACAACACAGATTGAGAAAAGACCCTGCTTACAAGGTAATAATCTGATTATCTAAAAAGATATTCTTGGGGCACCTGGGTGGCTTAGTCGGTTAAGCGTCTGCCTTCGGTTCAGGTCATGATCTCAGGGTCCATGATCTCAGGGTCTGGGGATAGTGTTAGGATCCCTGCTCAGCGGGGAGTTTGCTTCTCCCTCTCTCCCTCCCTCTGTCCCTCCCCCCCAACCTGTGCTCTTGAGCTCTGGCTCTCTCTCAAAAAAATAAATAAAATCTTAAAAAAAGAAAAAAATTTTTAATTAAAAAAATGCCATGGTTGGGCGCCTGGGTGGCTCAGTCATTAAGCGTCTGCCTTCGGCTCAGGTCATGATCCCAGGGTCCCGGGATCGAGCCCCGCATGGGGCTCCCTGCTCAGCGGGAAACCTGCTTCTCCCTCTCCCCCTGCTTGTGTTCCCTCTCTCGCTGTGTCTCTCACTGTCAAATAAATAAAATCTAAAAAAAACCATAAAACAAAGTAATTTAAAAATGCCATGGTCAAGGAAAAAAAAGATATTCCCATGAATCTTAAAGTAGGGTCTAAGTGGTAGCAAGCTTTTAAGAAGAGTTCCTGGAATTGCATATTACATCAACATTAAAAATAAATGCTTGAAAAACTGAAGACAGACATGGGAACTAAATGCAATGTGGGATCCTGGACTGGATCATGGATCATAAAAAAGGACATTAATGGGAAATCTTGCACAATGTGAAAGGGGTCTGTACGATTAGTGACTAGTATGCTATCAATATTAATTTCCTGGTTTTGAGAATTGCAGTATGGTTATCTAAGATGCTAACATTAGGAGAAGATGGATGAAGAATGGAAACTATTTTTGCAATTTTTCTATAAGTCTAAAATTACTTAAAAATAAAAAGTTAAAAAAGAAAAATCTGAACTTGCCAAAAGAACTCACTAAAGATTCCCAGCCTGCCATATAACAAATAACCACTGTCTTTATAAACAGAAGGATATGTGGACAGGTATAAAAAACTAAAATATAAACAAAATAACCCTACAAATTAATGGTGATATGTAACAAGGTTCCTGGGGAGTTAGAGGATTCTGACTTAATATTTACTTATTAACTTTTAAGCAAAATAAATTTCAGATCTTATTTATGAAGTCAGACACAATGTGTACAATTAAGCTGAGGTTCCTAAAAATAAATCTAATCTAGGGTCATTCTTTATTAGAAATTTATGTCACAAAAGCATGATGTTCCTAGGCTATGAATGGATTCATTCATGTTTATAAATTTCCTTAAAGACAAATTTTTTAAAGGAAAAAACACTATTTTACAATTATCTTGCAACATGAAAATAAAATAAGTCATGCAAAAGAAGTACCTTAAGCACAAGCAGCAAAAGAAAATATAAACTGGACATAATTTCAGAATCTTATCAAAACTTGTATTTCATAGGACATCAAGAAAGTGAAACGATAACCCATAAAATACTTGCAAATCATATATATGAAAAAGGTCTGATAGTTAGAATATACAAAGAACTCTTTTTTTTTTAAGATTTATTTATTTATTTGACAGAGACACATAGCGAGAGAGGGAACACAAGCAGGGGGGAGTGGGAGAGGGAGAAGCAGGCTTCCCGCTGAGCAGGGAGCCCGATGTGGGGCTCGATCCCAGCACCCTGGGATCATGACCTGAGCTGAAGGCAGCCACTTAACGACTGCGCCACCCAGGTGCCCCTAGAATATGCAAAGAACTCTTAACAATTCAACAATGAAAGGATGAATAACCCAGCTAAAAAAATAGACAAAGGATTTGAATATACATTTCTCCAAAGAAGATATACAATAGCCAATATACACATTAAAAAAGATTCTCTGTATCATTAGTCATCAGGGAAATGTAAATCAAAACCACAATGATGTATTGTTTGACACCAACTAGGATGGCTACAATAAAAAGGTAATAATTGTTGGTGAGGACATAGAAACTGGAACCCTCATACACTGCTGGTAAAAATATAAAATGATACAGCCACTTTGGAAAACAATCTGGCAGTTTCTCAAAATAGGACAGCAATTTGACTCCTAGGTATGTGACCCAAGGGAAGTGAAAATATTATGTCCAGGGGCACCTGGGTGGCTCAGTCATTGAGCATCTGCCTTCAGCTCAGGTCATGATCCCAGGGCCCTGGGATCGAGCCCTACATTGGGCTCCCTGCTTGGTGGGGAGCCTGCTTCTCCCTCTCCCACTCCCCCTGCTTGTGTTCCTTCTCTCGCTGTGTCTCTGTCAAATAAATACATAAAATCTTTAAAAAAAAAAAAAAATTATGTCCACACAAAGATGTGTACATAAATGCTCACAGCTTCAGTATTCATAATAGCCAAAAAATGGAAACAATGCAAGTGTACACCAACTGAGGAATGCATAAATAAAATGTGGTATATCAATACAGTGGAACATTTGGCAACAAAAAGGAATGAAGTACTGTCAAGTGCCACAACATGGATGAACTTTGAAAATATTGTGCTAAGTGAAAAAAGCCACTCCTCAAGGAGCACGTTATATAGCATTCCCTTTACATGAAATGTCCAAAATGGATAAATCTATAACTACAAAAAGGAGATTAGGGGTAGCCTAGGGCTGAGAATTTTGGAAGAAATGTAAAGAAACTAATAGTTTCTTTTGGGGTTGACAGTTGTACAACTCTGTGACTATAATAAAAACCACTAAATTATTCACTTTAATGAGCAAACAGTATGGTATGTGAACTGTATCTCTCTCTTTTTAAGATTTTATCCATTCATTTGAGAGAGAGAGCACACAGAGAGTGAGAGGGAGAAGCAGACTCCCTGCTGAGAAGGAAGCCCGACTCAGCTTGATCCCAGGACCCTGAAATCAGGACTTGAGCTAAAGGCAGATGCCCAACTGACTGAGCCCCTAGGCGCCCCCGTGAACTCTATCTCAATAAAACTGTTATGAAACTACTTGCACAGAAAAGAAGAAATACCTTCAGAAGTATTTCAGCTAAAGAGCCAATCATATGCAGGGCTCCATCTTTTTTTCGAGGATCAGCATTTGGTTCTGTAAGAATCTGGTAGCAAAATCCCATTGTCTTTTGCAGTACCTAGATTTAAAAAAGGGAAGTTAACATTTTATTTGATTTCCTAACAATCCTTAACAACAAAAAAGACAAAATGACTTACATGGCTAACATTAAAAGCTGAGTGTATATCTGAACAAATTTTAAATATTAAAGCAAAAGTTCTCTACGTTAAATAACCTACCTCTTTCCTCTTGCTACAAGCTGTAAACAAAAGTGTCTGGGCAGCAGTGGTAGGAGAAATAAAATCTTCAAACACATCTAGAGAATAAATTTAAAATTAATACAAAAATCAGCAATTTCAATTTCTTCAAGAAACATTTTCACGTAATTTACAAATGATGCTCTGTAAAAAGACCTTAAAATTTTGCTAAATGTTCATGCAAGGTATAAAGAGGAACCCAGATTCCTATATAATTTTGCAATAGCTTCTAATTTCATGTCTTTTCAGTACAAATTAAATTTTAATCCATTAATTCATCTTTTTTTTTTTTTAAAGATTTTATTTATTTATTTGAGAGAGCGAGAATGAGAGAGAGTACATGAGAGGGGGGAGGGTCAGAGGGAGAAGCAGGCTCCCTGCCACGCAGGGAGCCCGATGCGGGACTCGATCCTGGGACTCCAGGATCATGACCTGAGCCGAAGGCAGTTGCTTAACCAACTGAGCCACCCAGGCGCCCCCATTAATTTATCTTAATGATCATTTTCTTTCATATAAAACACAACTACTGTGAAAGTTTTCACAATATGGTCACAAAAGTACAATCTACTACAAATACAAAAGATTTTGGTAGGAAGAAGGACTAATACTCAACATTAGTCAAATTACAATCCTTTAGTTCCATGCAGACTCAATGTGACTCCAGCTTCCAATATAGTCTTCTCATTTCCCACACATATGATGACTGACATGGGGTCCAAAAGTATAGTTTTGACAGTGTTAAGGTGTAATCTTGAATTTCTTAGTTTTAGCATGTGCCAAAAAGCACATCCAATAATTGTAACTTAGTAACACTATTATCTGTGTCTGCTAAAAATGAAGATCATTATCAAATGCCATAACTAATGAATAGACCCCAAAAAGTCTAAAAAATGGATAAATTACATTAAAACAACAAAGATTTTTCAGAACCAAAGGTGAGGCCTTACGACACCCTTATATATGCCATATACAAACTTAGCTACTGACATATTTTGTTTCTAAGAAAGTGAAAATTTACCAAACTTCATGCGTATATATTCATAAGGGTCTTCTTGCCAAAGTTCTTCATCAGCATCTGTATAGCACATCAATGGAAAAATAACATCTTGGATAATGCCCTGCAATTTAAAAGTTAAGAAAGTAACCTTAAGTCAGTCTTCAAATTTAAACCTTCAATTTTGGTTAAGTGCTAAAACAAAAGCAACCCAATAATATGTATTTCAAAGCTTAATATCAAACTTTAGTAATGATTCTCAGATCAACTATTAAGGTACATACTATTAGAGTTTGTGCAACAAGTAATTATAAAATAAGACATATGTGTATATAGGTAGCAATTAAGTATTCTGGGAAAATACATTATGAAATTTTAGTCCATCAAATCCTGTAGTTCTAAATAAAGCAAATAAATTACTCATAGAAATGGTACATAAGCTAATTACCCTCAAAACTAATCTGGTGAAATAGTCCTTGGTTTATTCCAAATTACGTGACTAAAATGTTACAACCATAAACCAGTACGAAGAATTTAAATGCAAATTTTAAGATAATAGTTTTAGATTAAAAGGTAATCACAAAATACCTTTTATAAGTTTGTGTCAAGGTATTTTCTCATTTTCCTACTGTATTATCAAAACAATTAACTAGACTAAGTAACACAAGTCAACAAAATATGCACTTTTCAACCTTTATGATAATTAATGTTATTTCCATTATATTTTCCGGAAAAACATTTCAGATAGAAAATTATTACTTGTATATGAGGCTTCAGATTCTTCCAGGTGAGGGCATGAGAAACTCCTTGATTAATGTAATTTAATGTCTGTTGCAAAACTCGAGGAGCCATATATTGTTTCTCCTTGTACTGATATAATACCTTCAATAAAACCTTGGAAAAAAATATTTGATCAAAAACCAAAAGTTAAATAGAAATTTTAACCATTTTATAAGTCAGTAAAAACATCTGACATGTATCTTAATACCCAGATCATCATCCTCAAATAACAACCATACTCTCTTAAAAAGAAAGTAATTTTTGGGGCGCCTGGGTGGCTCAGTTGGTTAAGCGACTGCCTTCGGCTCAGGTCATGATCCTGGAGTCCCAGGATCGAGCCCCGCATCGAGCCCCGCATCAGGCTCCCTGCTCAGCGGGGAGTCTGCTTCTCCTTCTGACCCTCCCCCCTCTCATGCTCTCTCTTTCTATCTCATTCTCTCTCTCAAATAAATAAATAAATAAATAATCTTTAAAAAAAAAAAAAAAGAAAGTAGTTTTTTAAAATTTTGTATTAGAGAACCATATTTATTCCCAAGATATTCAAATAAATAAACTGAATTACTACTATGTCAAAGGAATAGTTTCTGATTAAGTATAACCACAGGTTACTTACCTCCCAGAAAAACCTTACCAAACCACTCACCAATTTAATGTCTGCCAGGAGCTCTAATTCTACATGGTATATCAGAAAAGCAATTGTCAAGATTTGCCCCACAGACCTCCTGAAGGGTCTGTGAGGTCAAAACTATTTTCATAATAAGGCTAAGACGTTATTTGATTTTTTTACTATGTTAACATCTGCATCGATGGTACAAAAGCAGTGGTGGCAAAACTTCTGTTGCCTAACATGAATCAAAAAGTGGCACCCAAGTGTACCAGCAGTCATCATATTCTTTACAGCCACATTAAATTCAAAACAACCTTTCCTTATGAACACTTTTTTAAAATTTTTATTGTTATGTTAATCACCATACATTACATCATTAGTTTTTGATGTCGTGTTCCATGATTCATTGTTTCTGCATAACACCCAGTGCTCCATGCAGAACGTACCCTTTTTAATACCCATCACCAGGCTAACCCATCCTCCCACCCCCCTCCCCTCTAGAACCCTCAGTTTGTTTTTCAGAGTCCATCGTCTCTCATGGTTCGTCTCCCCCTCCGATTTCCCCCCCTTCATTCTTCCCCTCCTATCTTCTTCTTTTTTTTTCTTAACATATATTGCATTATTTCCTTAAGAACACTCTTAATGAATCAAAATATAATTATTATTAAATGGGGAGTACACATGTAGCACTTCTTCTAATACCAAAGTACAATGGTTGGAAGAAAAGTTGAAATAGTAGCTTTTCCCATCAAATGCTATCATATTCTTGAAAGAAGAACTGACAAATTATGGTTATTTAGACTTGTGTGTATGGCATATTTCCCCTCAAAAATGAGTAAAATGAGCCTGTCACTTCAAGGAAAATAACCGACAGTATGTTACTGGTGTTAAAATCTGAGCTTCGAAACAAAAATTAGAATTCTCAAACTCTTAGATGCAGAAGACTTTGATCCACTTAATTAGCTTTCCAATATTTAACGATATTTCTGATGACATCAGTGGTAGCATTAGCAAATGTGATTTCTTTTTTAAAAATTGCATGAGGGGCGCCTGGGTGGCTCAGTCGGTTAACCCTCCAAATCTTGATTTCCACTCAGGTCATGATCTCAGGGTCGTGAGATTGAGCCCCGTGGTAAGCTCAGCGCTCAGCAGGTAGTCTGCTTCTCTCCTCCCTCTTCCTCTGCTCCTCCCCCTGCTCATGCATGCTCTCTCTTGCTCTCTCTCTAAAATAAATAAACCTCTAAAAAGATAAAATTGCATAATGAAATGTATTAACATTTGGAAAATCTTCATTAACTCAATTTTCCAAATGACCAGCCGTTACAAAATCATGTATGGATAAATGATCCATTCAAAGTATAATATAAATCAACAGGTGTTAATGTAAAAGAATCTAAGATGCTTGCTATTAAAAAACTCTACACTGCAATTAACCTTTAAGAAACTACCAGTATTGAGTGACTCAGTTGGTACTGCATGTGACTTGATATTGGGGTCATGAGTTTGAGCCCCACATTGGGTATAGAGTTTACTAAAAACAAAAACAAAAAAAAACTATCATTATCATATTTTGATGTGGTATCAAAGAATTTCCACAATTTTGTGAAAAGTCTATTAAAAGTCTTTCCTTTTCCAACTTATCTGAGGCCACACTGTCTGTATTTATGTCCAGCAAAATTTAAAAAGACTAAATACATAGGAAGATGAGTATATAACTTTTATTAAGCCATACATTAAAAATTCAGTAAAAATGTTTAACAATGCCCATTTCCTTTTGTTAAAAATGTTTCATTTTGGGAAGCAGTTATTAAAAAAAAAAACATGTATTCTGTGTTAATATATTAGGTTTGTTATTTTTAAATGAATTAATACTCTTAAATTTTAATTTCTAATATGATAAATATCATAGGTGTAACTCACATAAATGGAAGCTTGCTGAGGTTCTCAACAATTTAAGGGAATAAGGAAGACCTAAGACCAAAAAATGAGAACTGCTACAGAGTTCAAAATGGTAAAGGTTGGGGCGCCTGGGTGGCTCAGTCTTAACAACCGCCTTTGGCTCAGGTCATGATCCCAGGGTCCTGGGATCGAGCCCCGCATCGAGCTCCCTGCTCAGCGGGAAGCCTGCTTCTCCCTCTCCCATTCCCCCTGCTTGTATTCCTGCTCTCGCTATCTCTTTCTCTGTCAAATAAATAAATAAAATCTTAAAAAAAAAATGTTAAAGATTGCTACATGCAATCTTTGGGTACCAATAAATCAGAAAAAAAGCAAGACAGAAATTAACCTAATAATAATGTCATGTTTCAATTTAGAAAAATTCTTAGACTTACTTGCTGGACACCAACAGCAAATGCCTTCAGAAATACTTCAGCAAATTCATTATACTCCTTGGAAACATTGCCAGGGCTTCCATATCTAAAAGAACATTAAAATGCCCACTGTTTCTTTATAATGCTTTATATACTGATACTTATAAAAACTAAGAGCATGAAAAAATAAACCTAAATCATCATATATTGAGAGCTTACCTTTCAAAAAGCCTTGCTAAGATATGTAAAGCCCACTTCTTACATTTCCACCATGGTAACTCTGGTCTGTCATCTTCTTCAACTTGAAGTGTTTCCTTTAAAGAGAGATTTATTTAATGATAGTAAGACATGATACACTCTAAGAGGAACAGCATGAGGTGAGAAGAAACTCACAATGAATGTTGGCCTTTTGTAATAAAAGGCTAGATTTGGAAAAGTAGTCTTATTTATTAAATATAAGAGGCACTTTCATCTGCTTCACTACTTAGCTACAAAGGATATACTTTTTTTTTTTTTTTT